ATCCGAATACCATTTTAGCCGGGCTTTTATTTAAGGAAATATGGTACATATATTGTACAGCCATAAATATTTAAATTTAGGTATCAAATTTTATTCTCCCTTGCTTTTGAGCCTGCCCTATACAAATTCTCTTGGTCTTGTTATAGGTCTCTAAATATCAAATCTCCACACAAACTGAGTCAACTATCTACTCATTTTGTATGGGTGGTTTCATATGACGTGATTGACGTCACAGCATGCGTCATATATGTAATTACCTCCGTATAGCAAAATGTCTACTTTGCCATTCACTTATACAGTGCTATGAATTCTTCTGGCAGGCTCCCTAACTATGAGCATGGCTATCATGCTACTCTTTGATTTGCCTAGACCCAAAGTCCCTGTATAGAGAGCCAGTGACCTGGCCAAATTGAACATAGTACCTTATTCCTAAAATTATTGCTATCACTACTTTTCTGCTTACTATACTGTTATAATTTTACTCCTTTTTGCCTTGTGCTATATCAAATATGTTATAGAAGAATGAACTTTATTGCCGTAAACAAGTGAGGCTACTCATTAAAACTCACGTCACTGCAACTGCTTTATTATTTTATAGTATTGAGAAATGAGACAAAGCATACCTTGTTTGAAGACAATTTTTTAATAGTTATAATGCATGCAGTGTACAAGGGGACAGATATATGCAGCATCTTTTGCTGCCTGCTAGTAAAAAGTGTCATGTGTGATACCATATAGGGGTTTTATTTAGTTGGTATAAGATTTCGCGAATTTGTTCAGGTTTGCCATTTGCTGGTATAAATTATTGCGAATCTTACCTTCTGCAGCCATTTTCCCAGTGTGCCATACCTCTTTTGTGGAATTTAATTTCGCAAATTTAATAAAAATGCGAAATTTGCAAAATTTATTTCCAGTAAAATATAACCCCTATACGGTATTTATTTGTGACTAACAAGTATTTTTAACAATTTTTAGTGAACGTGCATTTTCAGGATACATTCTTTTTCAAGGAAAGGTTTCAGTTTCTATTGATACAATCAAAAAATGCAAATGTTGCTTGCTTTATAAATATTATGTGTCATCTCTTCTTCTTTCTGATCCAAAATATCATTTGGAAGATTTACACTACTTTGATGATGCTGTTTCTCGTGTTCTAAAAATTCCAGAGAATTTCTTGTATCCTGAAAGTAAGCCTATTTATGGGAAATAATTGTGATTTTGTGGAAGAGATTCTATGAAGTATACAACTTATATTTATGTATAACCTACAAATACTAAATAACCCTCCAAAATTTGGTTCATTAATTTTTTCTGGGAATTTTAAAATTCAAATTATTCCTTAATAGAATTTTTGTTGTGTGCATTTTATAGTAATGTAGAATTACAATTAAAATTACAATAAATTTTAGTTGCAAAATTAATTTGAGCAAAAAGTATGCAAATAAAATTTCTGATTGACAACTATACAGTATTGTGTCTTTATACTTAAGAACAAAATTTACTCATTGTAATATTTTCTTTATATTTATATTTTAGCTACATTTCGCCAATATGATGTACCAATATACCCTAGAGAAAATATTATATATGAAGTGGAGAACCGCCTTGATGCTGTTGAACAACATTTGAAAGAAAAATTTCCTGGCACATCAACTTATACACTAGAACCGAAATTTCCTGCTACTGATTGTGATATGAGGAATATAAGCCTAAGGCTTCACTTGCATAAGTTTAAGTGTGAGTTATTGAAATGCTCATTTGTTTTTAGTTCATCATTAATCAAAGAATTATATGAGAAAATTAAGCTTGTTTATAAGCAGTTATATGACATAACAGCTCAAGTGGAAATTGTGGAATATGTTTATGCAAAAAACAAGTCATTTGTTGCTGACGGAAATTTCAGAGAGGTATTCTATTTTTATTTGCATTATTTTTAATTAAATTACTGTAATACTAGTGCTTGTCTGACTGGATAGTTGATTTGGCAAAAAAATTGGAGTCCAAGTCTTTATCAAATTATCAGTCTATTATTCCTGGGGCAGTTTTTTGTTTGTTACTTTCTGATTTTGATATTGTAGAAAATTTACCACAAGATAAATTAAAGTTATTAATTAAGCTTCTGTACCTTAAGCCTGATGAAGAAGGTCACTCTGCTTACAGAAATTTATTGAGTTGCTTGTCGAATAATGATTTGAAGTAAGTTATTTGTACCAGAGTTACTATTTCACCTTGATTTTAATTAGAATAGAATTGCATAGATCAGTTGAAAGGCTATGCCGTCAATTCATTAAGCTGATTCAAGGGAAGAGTATTGACTGGCTACGAAATACTCCCCTCCCGCTTTACCATTTTTTGCGAGGAATAAGTGAACCATTTGTGCCTATTGAAATGAATCTTGAGATGGAATGGACTTTTTGGCAAACTATTAAAGATAATAAGCGTAGTTTTCACAAATATTTGCAGGAGAAAGATTCCAGGTAAATGTTTGTTTATAAGGCTTATTTTGCTGTTGTGATAGTATAATTTTGCTAAGTTTGATTTTTGATTGTGATTTTAGTAGCAGTGTGATAGCCATTTGTCATTATTTCATTAGGCACTTTAATTGCTCTGACAACTGGTTGACAGCATACTTGCAACTGGGTTTTCCTTGCATGTGGTTTTGTTTGTACATGCACTGATTTGCCAAATTTAATTTCCTCCAAAATTTCCTGCTATGCGGTACACATAAATGCTTAAATATATAGGGTATCATGCAGGTTTTTCATACAAAATTTTAATTACAAAAAGTGTCTCTTCACTTTTGAGTATTTTCTCAACTATATGATAATAGTTAGTTGTGCAATTTTTGGCCTCACCAGCAATAATTAAAAGGGGCTCACCTACAGTCACCAAAATTTCTTTGTGGGCTTTAAAAAGTTACTTTCTACTACTTTATTAAGTATAACTGGCAGTGGAAGGCACCAAAAGCCATTAATCTTGCCAAATGTAGCAGGTTTTTGATGGATTTTTTTGTGCTTTGAGTAACAGGGCTTCATAGTATCTCTAGAGAGTCACAGAAACTTTATCTAAAAATACAACGTAGCGTTTTGCTGGAATGTTCTTTGTTTTGAAGATATGATTGCCTAAAAATCACTTACCTCTTGACTTTACACGAGGTGCTTGTCCTTAGAAAGAGTAGTATAAGTCTATAAACTTCAGACGCTTGACAAGAGTTGGTATGCAACAAAAATGTGTTTTTGCTTTGAGTAGAAGTCCAAAAAACTCAAGCTTCTTCCAGCAGTTAGTCTAAGAGCCACCACATTACTCTAGCAGTCAAGATTTCACACTTTCGCTGGATTGCAATATGTAGGACAAATTAGTTTTGAAATCATACATGTAAAACAATTATTGTTTTTCTTTGTTTTGGTGAGGCCAATGCACCAATGGTGTCTCGTTTGATTTTAGCTAGTTTTATTTATACTTTAGTTATAGTTATTTTTTAATATTTCAAAATAG